AAGGATTAATTCCAAATGAAGCATTATCTTTCATCAAGAAGAAATGAATGTCAATTTTTAATTCATTAAAATTAATCAAATACTTTCTTTATTAATCAATTAATTGAAATTACTACATGATTTGTTTTGACATCTTTTATTTTCTTTATTTTCATTAGAATATTCTTTAATTTCTTATACTTATTTCTTTCCTTCCATTTATCATTCTATTAATATTGTTGTCAGTCACATTATTCATATCGAATATTATATCATTTTTATTCTTTTTATTTAATACTTATATTTTATGTATGGTATTTGTGATATTTTCCAACACTTTTTGATATTCTTTGTTTGTTCAATATCATAATAATGTCTTTATATTGGAATATTGTTTCATATTGTATTTTTATATTGATTATTTCATGTATATTTTTTTATTAATCAATATGATAATGCATATATTGTCATATTTCTTCATTTATGAGTTATTATGAACAATAAAATAGAATATGTTTTACTGTTATTATATTGTCTTTACAAAGTGTTTAGTATTTTAATCTTTCATTTTTCATTATTCTTGCTTTTCTATACAAACAGAATATTGTTCTATCTTTCATTTTAGTTAATTAGAGAAATGATTATTCTTTTTAATATTGATGACACTTCCATATTTTGATGTATTTGTCATTAATTTCTTTATTTCTATTACTACTTCTTTTTCTTTTTTCTTTTCTATAAATTCATTTATTATTTCTTATATTTTAGTTTCATTTATTTTATGTATTAATGTTTTTTAATTCTATTCAATATTCCCTTCTTACTATACCATCTATCTAATATGTTATTTCATATTTCACTCTTGTACAGTAGTACATCACTGTTCTAATTATTTTATTAACACATTCATCATTTATGTTTATTAATCATTTCATCTATAATAACATACAGTCTTTTGAGTTGAATCATTGTATTTTCAATTTCTTAAGTATTTTATTATCTCATTTTTCATTTTATCTAATTTACCTTCCAATTTACAACTGATTCTGAATATCTGAAGATATTAATTACTTCCGTGTTTATTCTAGTAATATATCTTCTATTACTACTTTCATCACTGTTTATTTCTTCAATCTTCTGATTCATTTTTTCTTTGATGATTTTACAATTGAAGATATTAACAATTTTTTCGAATTGCTATACTCCTAAATATTTATACAAATCATTATCTTCAATGACTGTGATGTTTTCATTCAATTTTGTATTTGATTAATGTTTTAATACAATTCATCATTTATTCACATTCATTTCTTTATGTAACTTATTATTTCTTTAATTTCATTGTGGATTATTCCCATTTCTTCATTATTTTCTGTCATGATTCTCAAATCATCCATATATAAAGTGTGATTTGATCTTGTGAATTTCTCTTCGATGAATTGAGAAATTACATTCATCTGAATGATGAAGAGTAGATTTGATAATGAATCATCTTGTAAAATTCCTCTATTTAATTTAATACATCATAGATATTCATTAAATTTATAACCGATGAATATCTTCAATCTAGTCATCATACTTTCAATTATATCAATGATGACAAACTCATAATTAAAATATTTTAATGATTCAATTACCCATTCGTGGTTTACTGTGTCATATGTTTTCTTAATGTCATAATATGACTTCACATATTTTGGGTATTTTTCTTCTTTCTGCTGCTTTAACATATAACTATTTATTATTCATTCTTTAGCAGCTAAAGATTGTAATTTACATCCCAATTGGTTTCTACTGATTTTAAATGATTCATTATTCATGTTAAATCTTCTGTGAATCTTTTCTTTTAATATTGGTGTAAATACTTTCATAATTACATTTGTACAACTGATATGACGATAATTAATGACATCATTCATATCACTTTGTGGATTAATAAAGTTCTTCCACTTACCATGTCTAATGGGATGTTTTGAATGAAGTTCAACCATTCATTGAAGATATTAAGAATGATTTCTCATGATGATGACATCATTTTCCAATAATACCCATATATAATGTCTATTCATTGTGCTTTCAAATTAATTATTTTCATTATACTTATATTTAATTCATTTAATGTTATTATGACATTATCATAATTGATATATCTTTCATTCAATATAGTGTTTTGTTTTATTTTCCATTTCTCTTTATTTAATATCACTTGTGTTTCATATAACGATTTCCAATATTCTAAAGTAATATCGTTATTTTTGTATATTTCATTTTTTGTTTCTTCCTTATTCTAATTTTCTTGTTAGAATCAAACATGATTTTATTTGTATTGATTCTGATTATTTCATTTTTATTAAATTTAATTATTTTATCATTGTCATCATATATTTTAGGTATTTTATTCTTTCTAGTGCTTTGACTTTTATTCCTTCTTCATCATGTTCATTTAATTTCATGATGCACTTTATTCTCTACAATTTTCTTCCCTTGACCAAATCTTCTAATCTATTTATTTTCTTTAGGATTTCTTTTATTTCATCAAATTTATCTCTTATTATTTTATTTTGGAGATAAAAGTATATAATCATTGAAATCCTCTTCATATCATCTTGCAGATAATCCATTCTGCTTCCTGACAATACCCATCTATTATTATTTTCATTTATTAATTCATCAGTTTCTTTTCTTTTCCAGTAGTAATTAATGTTTGAACATTTTTCTATTTTCATTTATTTTATTTTATTTTATTGATGAGAGTGTTAAGATATTCTTCATCAATTTCTGTAGATATTCTTTAATATGATGTTTTTATTATTGAATCACACTCTACTCTTCCTTCTATTATATCTTTTACTTTCACTTTAATGTACAGTTTAATACTTTCTTTTATTTTATGTGATATTTTAATATAATTAATATATTCTTTTTCATTATTGACATTGATGTTTATTGCTTTTATTATACTTTCTATTTGTTCATTTCTTATTTTCTTGTATAATTTCTTATTTAACCAATTAATTGCAAAACAATACAACACTTCAATTAAATTTCTATTTCTTTCTTTTGTTGTATTTATTGTCTGATTATCATCTCTTGTTTTTTGACAATCAGTGCTTTTCTCTTCGATTTCCACTATTGTCTTTTTCATAGGAGTAGTTTCGTTCATCTCCATTGTTCCTGATGATGCTTTCCTCAGTACTGGTTGTGTATTTATCACAAGCGTCATCGTTTTCTTCTTCTCCAGTTCCTTCTGTGAAATAAAATTTTCAATATCATCTTGTTGTTTTGATATTATTTGTTTTTGTGTTTCATTCTCTTTTTGTGTATTATCTAATTCTTCTCTTGTTCTTTCTGCAGTCTCATGACTTATTATTGCTGCTTGTTGAATTTCAGAGATTTGTTTTTCTTTATCTCTTATTTCACTTTTCAGCTCCTCAACTTTCTTCTCTAGTACTTCAACTTTTTCCTCTAACACATTATTCTTCTCCAGTAATTCTCCTTTTTTCTTCAGCTCTTCTGTTTTCTCCTTTTGTTCATCCTTTTCCTTCTGTAACTTCCATTTAGTGGATTTCAGACTTCGAATGGTTTCTTCTTTGTTATTCATTTCCATGATTTTCCTTCTATCTCATTTATTTCACCTTGTAATTTTATATTTTCTTCTGTTAGTTTTTCATTTTCTTTCTTCTTTTCATTATAATTCGTTTGTACTTTCTTAATTTCTCTTTTCAAATTTTCTATTTCTTTCTCAAATTCTTTTCTGACTATTTCTTTTGCTTTTTCTATCATTTCATCTGAGATGGCTTGTTCTTCTTCCTTTCTTTTTGCTTGATATCCTTTATTTTCTTCTTCTATTCTTTTAATCTGCTTTTGAAGTATTTTAATTTCTTCTTTTTCTCTATTATTTTCCTCTTCATTCTTTGTTTCTTCTTTGTTTTCTTCTTGTGTTTTTCTTTCTTTTTCTGTTTCATTTATTATTTTAGCCATTTTACATCTTTCTTGTAATTCTTTGATTGGATTTCTGCTTTTGATTTCTGTTTCGATTGCTTGGATATCTTCTTCCCATCCTTTTGTTCTTTCCTTAAATTTTTCTTGCATTTTTTTCAATTCTCTTTTTCTTTCTAATTGCATATACTTCTTGAAGAATATCATATCATCTTTTTCTTTTACCTTCGTATTTTTTAAGTATTTCTTCATATTCTCCTTCATTCCATTCCTTTGTTATTTTTTTTATTCTTTCATGTATCTCTTTTATTGTTAATCATCTATGTCTATTGTTTGTATATTCATTATTATTCCAGTATTTATCCTGTTTTTTATTCGTTCTTCTTTGTATCTTTCTTCTTTCTACTCATTTTTCATTGGTATATTGTTTACCATTATTATTATTTCTTTGCCATTTATTGTTATTGATATTTCTTTTTTATTATATGACATTGAATTTCTATGAATTGTGTGGTTTTCTTTACAACACAGATTGATATTACACAATATTCATTGCATTAAAATTTGGATGTATTTTCTGAATTTGAAAAATGAAAATCAACATAATAAATATTATCAAAATGTGAAAATAAAACACCAATTGTTAATGTAACAATTTATAATTCAGATAAAACAGCAAATAATATTATTTATAAAATATTCAAATACAAAGAAATTCAATGAAAATAAAAATAGAAAGAACATATCATAAAATAAAACCACCAAATATGGTATTATGATTAATGCATACAAGACATAAATTAAATAAAAGAAATGAATATAAGTATTGAATAACCCAAATAGTTTTCATTGGATTTATTAAAAATAATTAATATTTTAACCAAAATCAACAAATCAATTTATGAAGAATCCAATTCACAGATATTGAAAATATCATTATTTAAATAATATTGTGAAACTATCAAAAAAATTATAATTGAACATTTTGAATATAATAAACATCTAAATGAAAAATAAATATATGAAATATTTCTAACAAAAAAATAAAGAAAATAAATAAATTCAAATAAAAATTAAATTTTTTAAAGAATTAATGCAAAAATAGCAAAAACAACAAATAATATCATTGTTGAAACTGTTCCACATTGTTGAAGTGTACCATCATCACATTTATCACATTCCCATTCTTTCTCATGTGTTAGTCTTTCTTCAGTATTACATTTATCATTTGGATATTCATTTAAATACATCCATCCATTATCAACTTCATAATTACAATACTTATCAGAACATTTATAACATTTGTCAGTATAATAGATTCTCATTGTATTATCAGGATGAGTACAATTTTCATCATCAACAATTCCCATAAATCCAATATGTTTTGGTGCTTTTTTAATTTCAACAGTATTGTCTTCATCATTATCACAAATACCTTTAATTTCTTTACTATCTAAACTAAATGTTCCACTCTTTTTATTGCCTGAACATGTTGATGACTCAGAATAATAATCAATTGTAATTTTATCACCATCACGTTTAAATTCTGTTGATTCAGTCTCATCAATATAATAGCACAACCCAAAATCGATTGCTATAAACATTGCAGCGTCACCATCAACACTTTTTTGACATTCACTGACTAATGATTTTGATAAAACAACACTAATAAATAGAATGAGACATAACAATGTCATTTCTTTATTTCTTAAATTTCTTTCTTAGTTTTTCCTTTAAATATTCTTTATTTTCTCTCTTTTTATCATTTAAATCGCTTTTATTCCTTTTTTTTTTTGTATTTTTTCTTCATTTTTACTTCCAATATATTCTTCAATCCTTCTTTTTTTTTTTAATTACTCAAATTTATTATTATTTCTTTTTGAATAATATCTCTTTCTTTATCTTCTTATTTGAAACATTCCTCATTTTACTTATAACTTTACTCATGGAATATGAATTATTCCTTTGAATTTATTTCATTCCAAATTTTTTATGATTTTTTTTAAGTTTTAATGTAATTAATATTCATTTTAATTTCGTTATTTTAAACAAATTACAAAAATGTCAATTAATAGATATTTCCATTATTGGATTTTATGAATATTAAGAAGTGTTTATTTCAGTTTCTTCATTATGCTCTATTGATGTAATAGAGTTCATTTCTAACTTGCTTGCATTAGATTTTATGATGTATTTTGTTGAATTCTAATTGTATTTTTAATGATTTTACTCCTCTTACTGACTCTTTGTGAATTAATCAATTTATTGATAATATAACATGTATTATTTCTACATTTATTATTTCTCTATTGTTTCATAATTTATTTTGTAAATCTTGACTCTCCCAGTTATTATCTGGATATGATGGTGCCTTTGAATTAGGAATGTATTAGGGAATGGTGCAAAGGGTGCAGCAAGAGAATATAGTAGAATATTACATGGATGTAATATAAGAATCTACTGAAGTGTGGGTATGACTAAGAGAAGATTAGTCAAAATAAGAATAAAAAGAAGATTAGTCAAAGTAATACAGTAGTAATAAAATGATTCCTTCTCCCATTCATAAAATAAGAAAAATGAAATTCCTTAAAATTAAGGCAGAAAACAAACAAAGGCTTAAAAAGAAGAAATAAGCAGAAGAAGTTTGAAAAACCTTAATAAGAAGAAATAAAGCAAAGAAGTGGTTTCCTCATTTTGCAAGATAAACCTAAATGATAGGTTAAACAAAGAGATTACTCTTTTTTAATAAGCTCAGGGATGAGATTAGTCTCCCCTGAGCTAGGAAGAATAGATGAAAAATCTATTAATACTTAATTAATTACTTTTTATTTTAATTTATTTTGTAAATCTTTGTATTTATTTTGTAAATATAAATTCATTCTATATTCATATCTTGACATATAACAACATCTATAATATATCATATTATATCTTTTCTTTCATATTTTGATAATATATCTGGTATTATTCTTCCTTGAATAAAATGAAGAGGTATTTCATTATGATTATTTAACCATTCATTAAATAATTTTAATAAATATTTCATTGATTGTTCTAATTATTTAATCAAAAATCATTGTATTTTTTTCATTTTTGTAAATTATTTAGATGCATTATTCTTTGATAATTTTCGTACCCGAACTAGACTATGCTATCAAATTCATTAATAATTGAAAGTAAATTGAAAATGATAAAGATGCAAAAAAAAATAATTTGCATCCATAGAATTTTCCATTTATTATATTTTGCTCATAAAAAAAATAAAAAAAATAAAAAATATGATAAATACAGAATATATAAATATTTATGTTTATATTTTATGATCATTTCTATTCATTTTGTATGAAATATTAATGAAATAGATGATTTGATTATTCATATTTCTTTTTATTCTTTTTATTCTTTTATTTATATGTTATTTATCTATCGTATTTTTATATATTTATTTTTATATTTATTTCTCTGTTTATATTATTTATATCATTGTGTTATTCTTATTATATATATATATTATTATATTATTCTTATTTTATGTTTTTATGTTTATATTATTTAGATTTTCTTCTTGTTATTCTTTTATATTTAAATGTATTTTATTATTTGTTTATTCATCTTTATCATTTTTATATTATTATCATTTATATCTATTTTCATTTTATATTTATTCTCTTTTGTTTTATATTAATATTATTTTTATCTTTTATATTTTGATTTTATTATTATATCATTGATTATCATTTCTCGTTTTATTTATCATTTATTCTTATTATTCTTTTGTTTTATATTCTATCTATGTTATATATTCATATCATTTTCATTTATATTTTATCACTTATTATATGTTATAATAACATAACACATATGATTGATTATATAATAAACATCATGATGAAATTATACATATAAATAATAAACATAAAGAGAGTAAAATATTTTTCATTAATAAAATATTGTTAATCATTTTACATCATTAAATTAGACACTTTTATTGAATATTTCTAATTTTTACATTAAAAATACACTTTTTATTTCTTCTTTTATTATTTTATTACATCTTTGTGATTTATTATTTTTATATTCTTCTTCTACTTTATTTTTATTCTTTTATATATTTATATTCTTTTTATATTATTTGTTTTTCATTGTTTTTCTATTTCTTTCTTCTATTATTTATCAATTTTATATTCATTTATTCATTCTTTTTATTTCTTTTTTATTAATTCTTGAGTATTGTATATTTCTTTATTATTTCATTTGTGTATTATCAAAATATATGTTTTATTGATTTTGTGTTGAATAAAATATTGAATAAATCAATATTTTCATTCTTAATTATTCATTCTTTATTCTGAAATGTTGTGTATATTTATTATATTAAATTAATATGATGAATGAATATCAATATTATTGTTTATTTGATTTTAAAAAATAATAAATGAATATGAAATAATGAAATAAAATAATGAAATA